TGATGCCTGTAAACTGGCGTCCCTCATGTACATAAAGTGAGAATATATTATTGTTATTAATCATGATCATAGTTTTATGAAGGACTAGGGACTTAGGCTAAGGACTCATTCATCTTATCGTTTTCTTTCATACTAGACCCAAAGGTCATGACTACAGCAAGTGGCGAAAACCTTGAAATGCTGCCAAGACCTCTTTTCATAAGCCGGATTAACATGCAGTTGCTTCAGTGCGCTATACGAACGCATGTAGTCCAAGGAACAAGCTGACCGAATTAGGAGAATTATTTGAAAGACTACAACCTGATGTGATTTCTATCACTGAGACATGGTTGTTAGTTGGGGTAGACTTAATTCCACCAATATCTGACTACAACTACATTAAAGCAGACAGAGTAATTAGTCGGAAATGTGGTGGGGCTACCCTATTAATCAGGGATGACATAGGGATAACGTCAACGCTGTCAGAGGCACATGTAAGTGGCACCAGTGAAGCCGCAAGTTGCGTCATTAACTTGAACAAGGGCACTTTAACGATCAGCGTTATTTACAGAGGTCCTGCTAGCCAAGCTGAAGAGTTCGTTCTAAATCACTTCAGGGTGTGGAGTAGTGAAAATGGGTGTCTGGTGGTTGGTGACTTCAACGCTCCATACATTAATTGGGAGGAATTATAATCCAATATTTTGTATACCTTCGATTGCGGGCAAAACTTATTTTGATAAAGTCTCACTGTGTTATACAGTAATATTTATTTACTGATGACGTTTCGAGCACAATTTATTGCACATAATCATATCAGACCTTGATCTGATATTACTGTATAGCACTGTGAGACTTTGCCAAAATGCAATTACACTCTACTACACTGCGCAAGTTCTATCCTTATATCAGTTTGTTTGCCTTTTTCAAGAGGGAGCTCACACTGACAGCGCTTGAATGTGCACTCGTGCAACATATGCATACGCCAAGACCGTACCACCTTGAACATGACCCGTCTACTCTAGACTTGGTACTAACACATAGGAAGGGGGACGTTTGTAGCATTAGGTGCCTTCCGCCGCTTGGCAGTAGTGGCCATGTGGTCATTACTTTAACGTTTAAAATTCATTCTCTCATACACAGGTCAACATCTGCTCGTCCAAACAATTGGAAAGTGAATATACCCGGAATCCAGGACGCAGCAACTGCAGCTGACTGGTCAGCTGATACAGGTTGGACTGTTGAGGAAGCTTGGGTGGGATTTAGGAATACACCAGATTGTGTCACTTCACCTTTTGTACATTGGTACACTCCTCGAAAGCTATCACATAAGTTAACCTTTGATTACTAGTGAAATAAGGAGACCATTAAGACGGAGGAAGAAGTTATTGGACCAATTTATTATAACAGGGAGAGAAAATTTCGGGATGAACTACTGTGAAACTCAAAATCTCTGCAAGTATATGATTAGGAACACAATATTCAGCGAAGAGACTCTTTTCAACGAATTTATTATCAAGCTGTACAATCGTATATATATGGTTTTTATAAAAATTATATCCGGTGAGGGAATTAGGTCAAAGGTGTGAATACATGAAATAATAATAGTATGAAATGCAATTAAAATATTTGTGATTATAATCATAGTTTAATGTCAAGTGGCAAAATAATTAATGTCGTATATAGAATAATACATAATGTATTATGTATATATATACGATTGTACAGCTTGATAATAAATTCGTTGAAAAGAGTCTCTTCGCTGAATATTGTGTTCTTAATGCTACAATGGGAATTATTAAAGTATATGATTGACAAGAGTCGTATAGAGCACAAGAGACTGGATTGTATGCATTACCCAAGAAGGCTTTACTCGTATATTAAGCATAGGACTAAAACTAGCAGTGGTATACCGTCACTCATAAGCATTGGTAGGGAAGCGGCTGATTCAGACGAGGGAAAGGCTAAAACCTCTCTGAATACTTCTGTAACGTCTTCTTGTTTGATTGTACCACCCAGGGATATAACGAGGTCACTACCATTGCCACTCAGATGCCCTTAATTGTGGTAGAGCACGGAAACGTCCCCAAACTACTGTCTAGACTGAAGCAAGGTAGATCACATGGACCCGATGGACTTCACCCTAAGCTGTTAATTTCCTTGGAGGATATAATATATATTCCACTTTTGGAGATTTTCCGAATGTCTCTGACCCAGGCTAAGCTACCGAGGGACTGGAAGGATGTCATTATAAGCCCTATCTTCAAAGAGGGGAACAGGCAATTGGTAACTAACTACCAGCCGGTAAATTTGATATGCATTACAGTAAAGGTATTGGAAGCAATTATAAGGGGTCAGGTACTAGCTCGTGTGGAAAAACATGGCTTGCTGGCGGTGGAACAGCATGGATTCCTACCAGGACGATCCTGCCTGATAAATCTACTGTTGGCTAAGGAAGACTGGGTGTAAGCGAGAGATAAAAACCTGTTGGACGTGTTTTTTCGGTTCTTAGTAAGGCATTCGACAAAGAATCCCACTTATAATTTATAATTTATATTTCGTATAAACAGGTAAGTTTACATGAAATGCATGCCATTTTTACAGGCACGATCAATTATGTTACGAATTACAATTATGAATTAGCATACATTATCACTTTTTTTAAAAAGTTCAAATTGTTGAATTATAGTACAAGCAATCGGAACAGATTCTTATAATTGTTAATTTGTAAATCTTTCACGAAGGTCTCCATCGAAGTTGAGCGACAACCCATACTTCGTTCCATTTCCTGATGATAGTAATGGCCTATCGATAAACAACATATATTTGAGTGAGTACTGTGACCCCACGTGCTTGAACGCTCTTTCAGGAATAGGAGAAAATCCTGCACAGCTACAAAGTGGTATAAAATGCAATCATGAATAATACATTATTGGAAGTATATTTACAAGAAAAATACAAGAATAAGCTATACAGTACTTGATATGATGGTGCACATTTGCAATGTATGATGCTAACCATATTGGTCTTACCATGGAAAACTATGACGTTTTCTATGAAAATATAGTTATTCTCAAACATGAGTGTTGTTATGTTTTTTTATCATCAGAGCAACTGAACTTTATGCGAGAGAAGAGTATAAATCGGAAAAAAGAAAAAAATGTAAATTTCAGCTTTATTAAAGTCCTAGGAAATTGAGATAAAATAGGGTATAATAGTAATTAGGTAGAAGGATTATCGTGAAGTATATAAGTGACATTTCAGAGAAAAGTGGCTAGAAGGATTAGAACCTGTTCTGCTTAGTAAACTTAAACGTTTCGGACTAGACCAACGCTTATGTGGGGGGTTTAGGGATTACCTAATGGATAGAAGGTAGTTCCTATTATACGTTAATGAACTACCGGGGATTCTTACTTCATCTTCATTATTATTTGCGGTCGACATAAATATCTGGAAAACTGTCAATAATGACGATGATAGGCAGGCCCTACAAAGTTATCTAAATAAATTAGCTGAGTGATCGAACCTGTGGAGTTTGGAAGTTATTTCTAGGAAAAGTGCGGTAATGCACTTAGGTCAGAAGTCTTATACGTCGTACTCCCTAGGGGGCTCAGAACTACCTGATATTAACGGACAGGACCTAGGAATCACTGCCAACAGTGATTTGAAAATAACTGCAAATTGCGAGGCAGCCGCAGCTCGGGCTTTTCGAATGCTACAGGCACACCGAAGAGCTTTCAAAAAATTAGGTGAGTCTATGTTCAAAGTACTTTATGCAACACATGTTAGGCCTCATATAGAATACTATTCAGCCCAGAGAACACAACCACATCAAAATCAACTAGAATACTGCATATAAACGGCTAGTCCATACTTCAAGAAGGAGGGATATATCTTAGAAAGAGTACAAAGGGTGGGAACCAAATTAATTAGTGGTATCTCACGCCTTCCTTATGACAACTGGATGGCGCATTTAAGTCTCTTCCCGTTATCACACCGAAGGAAGAGAGGCGACTTAATTTTAGCATACTGCATACTTAAGGGTGATTTAGGAACTGACTTTTCTAACCTTTTCTTCCCTTCTAGGATACATTTACAGGGTCAGCAAAAAAGCGTGCTCAAAGCGAGGACGATTAAAATACGTGTAGAATTTAGATTCTCTCACATAGGGGTCAACGACTGGAACTCCTAACCTGATTCAATAGTATCAGCTCCATCGGTGAACGCTTTCAAAGGGAAGTTAGATCTCTGCAGAGATATATTTTACAAGGATTAACACAGGCCACAAGGGCCTACTATCCTTATCATCTGAATCTGATTCACAGAATGTCACTTGTCTCATTACGTCATTAGCTTAGTAGTTGATATTCAGAAGAACTAGTTTTCACCCTCTTAATGGACCACATCAGCAGCGGATTAATAGAGAGAAACACCTGATGACAAGGTGGCATAGAATTTTACTCTATTTAATTTCCAATGAAATGGCAATGAGCATGAAACTGTGTCTGGATATAGGAAGTTCGGAGGCGCTGGATTTGTACGTTTCGGAACATGGTTACTGTTGGCGCGATTTCTGCTAAACTTACGGATCTGCAGAATAATATAACGAAACTCTCCCTTGAACTAGATGCAAAACGTAAAGAAAAGGAGTCCCAGAGAAATGTTATCAAAAAGGTATTACATGCATACTACTGTTTTACAGACAGCTTGACGCAGAAATTAAAGACAAACATAGATTTGTTGATAGTCTAGAGCAAAAGAGTGAACAACATGCAGACTCCATTAAGGCGAATACTGAGCGTCAGAATGAACTTCAGAAATCTGCGGCTGAATGTCAAAAGTAACAGCTTTCCACCATAACTACATTTTGTTAGAGCACACGAATCCCTAGAAAAGCGTCTGGAAAGCCAAGAAGAGACTATCAGGTCTCTAGAGGATGAAGTTAGTGAAGCACAGAGTCAAGCGAGGTCTTCAGCTCAGATCTACGACGAGGTACTCTGAGACAGACATATCTAACTTTGTAGACTCTCAAACAACTTCAAGAAAAATTGGAAGTAGTAGAGAAGTATGAGAAAAAGGAAGAGTCTCTCCTAAAGTAATGTGTCTTAATATTGAGACTTATTTATAGGAACATAAAAGAGTTGAAAGATGAGATAAATTCGCATGGCAACAAACTTCGTCGTATGGATGCGCAAGAAAATGAGGTATATTATTTTTATCCCTTTTGATACCAAGGTGTTCTCACTAGATCGTTTTATGGAATGAGTCAAAATGTAATCGCGTTACAATCAACAGTGAAATTCAGTCACTTTACCCCACCTCTAGACTTCAAAATGTGATGTTACTTAGTGGCTCGTCATCGGTCTATTTCGAAATGGAGGTTCAGAGTATAATTCATAACTCATGCACTCCGGGAAACTCGCCTCACAATTGGTTTTAGAAGTGACAGTGCAATCCCGTTTTGTAAAAGTTTGGATACCTTCAGAGTGCTGGTTTTCGAAATATTGTGATGGTTAAATGAAACAGCAACTCAATTCTAATCTATTAAATAATGCTAGGGTAAGACGTAGTACTAAATTAAAAAGGTTATGGATCTCCATTAACTAAGTCGGCTAGTGCATGAGACGCATCTCGAGCCATCCTCTTCCTTAAAAACCGCTGTTAGACGACGTGGGATAAGTTTGGTCAGTAGCTAAGTAGTGTCAGACAAGTACATTTCACCAGTCCATGAACTCCTTTACTTTTGAGCTAGTTTGTCTCACCAGGGTAGTTTGGTTTCTCCGATCCAATGGTTAACGGCCTTCGGTGAAATGTATCTACTCTGTTTAAAGTCGCAAATATTGTTTCCCATACTCTTCATTATTCTTCTTTTATTTACATGTTTATCCACCGCAGTATTATTCTTTCCCCTCTGCCATTTTGCGTTATTTTTCAGAAGCGGGTAATTATATTGTTTCACAACTTAGAAAAATCATAATTCATTTGTTTGTCTGATCGTCCATTGCAACGTAATATTAGTTGACTTTATACTTGATAGACTTCGTAGAATACATCGAAACTGGCTTCGGGTACCAGGTCAAAGTGTATAGTTAGACTAGTACTATTAACATCTTGAGCGGAACACCGTCATGTATTTAATTTTGGTTTCTCAATATCGGGACGGTTTTTAGTTAGTTGAACAGGACTGAATTTTAAAGTTATGTCTTAGTAAAGACTGTTTCAGAGGAGTAAGTAGCGTTAAAGCACATTAGTTGAAGGCGAAATTAAGGAAGTTCTTTCAGTTCTCGATACAACCATGACTTTAGCACTGGTGTTTTTGCGATAGCGAGGATGGATTGTGTGTTGGCAATTCAGATATGCTCGAGAAGATTTCGGTTTCGAATTTTCGCGTGACATCTTATCGTTTGAAAAATGCGCTTTGTCATTTGCACTGTGAACTGTAAAAATGCAAAGCCCTTTCTTTAAGTCGGGAGGTACCTTTGCACTCATCCACACATAACCTGGTTAGTTGTACCAGTGCTGATAGTGTGTCTGATAAGTCATTGTAAAAAAACGTAATTGGTATTTATCGGTGATATTATTTTGTTTTTGGAGCATATTGTAATAACGGTTTTCGACATACGTTGCAAAGTTTTTGTGTGATTTCCTAGTCGTTTTACATGACTTAGGTGTTACTAATTCATGCAAGACCTGTTAGTCTGATTATACTGTTATGGAAGATAAATTACAATTGGTGTGACTAGGGTCTGTTTTGTTACTGTCTTATATCGTGTCACCTGCACATTGTATTTGATATGATATTATTTCGTCTTTGAATCTGTGTTTCAATGCTGGACTGCTTGTTGAGCACACGGTAGGTCCTAGTTTGGTTCCCGGCTGTTGCAGTCTTAAACCTTGCCTAGGGTTTACAAACAGCACCAATATCACTGAAAATTTAAAATATTTGAAGCCATATGTTCCACTTGCAACACAAAGGGATTGAAGTGTGTTTCTTTTGCAGTTTAGTGTTTTGTATTCTATTTTTACAGACAAATAAACGCATACAAGGACTAGAAGAGAAAATTAAGCAATTGTCAGAACAAATTACTCTGGTAAGTTGATATTTATATATTTATTTAAAGAGTTTTAGGAGTTAGTGGCATCGGTGGCTCGGCGGTAGAATGCTCGCCAACCACGCACGTGGTCCAGGGTTCGATCCTCGGCTGACGTACTCCTAAACCTCGTCAAGCGGGTAGTAAGGCCGGTAAAGAGGAAAGGTTACGCATGTGGCTAGCAACCCCACCCCGTAACAATAAGATTATTGCTGCTGAAAATTCAAAGCTCTAGCTTGAAGCGCTATGTTCCACTCGGAATGTAAAGGAATAGAATAATAAAAAATAAAAAAGAATTAATACTTGTTAATGTAATAATCTCTGTATTTTAAACGATGTTGATATAAAGCTTGCTGCTGTATTCGCTTTTATCATGTTTTTCTTCCATTGAATATTAACAAATGCCTTTAGGATAACATATAGCTTACTAAGGATGAAATAAGTAACTGAACTATATTACAGTCTTATCGTATATAGTTTTTCATCTCTTCTCACACATCGATATACAGGATGTTGGTATATGTAACACATGTTTAATTCCCCTCTTGGGGATACTCACAGGCGTCACTAAGAACTAAAGTAAAGACAACACTAATCTGTCTGAACCATAGCTAATTACCAGTAGAGTTAGACTGTCTGTGATTCCATTACCATGGGGAAACATTATCGGTCTAGAGCCTTCTGTCAGATTGTTGAAGGAAATAAATGAAATTTTACCGCTTGCAGTTCCATGCAGTTGACACTAAGCCGCACCTATTGTAAGGGTTAGTGATGCCAACTGGCTACCCAGACCTCAGTAAGTGAAGCGGGGTTCGAACTGGTAACCCACTGGTTTTGAAAGTTCACTGCCTAGGCCAATAAGCCATAGGTCTACACAAAAGTGTGGTTCTGAATTCTTATTTGATTGTGGATTGCTAGTAAGCTAGGCAAAGACAAGGATTGTGTCAAATGGGAGTTGACCGCGGAATACTTGCGAGGATGATGGGCATTCTACCATTAAACGACCGACGTTGGATGTTTCTTTTGAATTTATCACAATAGAATATAACTCGACGTATTATCTACACAGCTTGAAAGTCCATTCCATCGTGTGTAGAAACTAAACTCCAAAGAATCAGATATGATAAAACATTAGCTTTGCAACAATAATATGAAAAGAATAATGTTCCGTACACCCTCCTTTCAGAAGAAATGAAAACATCAAAAGAATCGACCACCAGTTGAGTGTTTTGCTGAAAAGAATCCATGCAGCTGTAAAAGGTAGTCTGACGAATCCGTTACTGAAACAGTCAAGAGTGAACAAGTTTGCGTAATCTGCTGTTTTCAGTTGTTTGTGATCTGAGAATTATTAGATAAATATTAGTAAAGACACTGAGAATTTTACATAAAATGAAAGAGAATATATTTTCACCATTGTGGACAATTATGAGTTGTTTCACTCAGTGGTGTAATCATTTCAACTACCAGGCCAACATTTGAAGATCCGTATATTATGTAGTCCTTAATGTCTGTGGTGTAGTTACGTAAGAAGGTAACAACTTTTACTTATTCATTTATGTTCAAGTTAGCCGGTGACCTGGTGTGTATGTATGCATTTCTGACCCATGGACTTAAATTACAGTGACGTGCAGTTCAGTTGAATTTTTATTATTTCTTTTGTGAATTTACAAATGAAGTTTTTAGTAGTTGTTTTTCTTATCAACTAAATTTTAGGCTACTCAACGTGCTGTTAACGCTGAGCAGGAAGCTGAAAGTCTGTCAGCAGAATTAGCTGTTCTAGAAGGTTAGATTTCGAATATTACTGATATTATTTTTCCTGCACCGTTTGATGCAGCTATTTGACCTCATATCCATTGTATGATATTTGGTGAATTAAATTATTTTACCTGATTGGGTCATTGTGATCATTTAATCCAACGACGCTTGTTTCTGAACAAGCGTGTAAGTTTAATTGTCACACTGATTGCAATCTTATCAAGAATAATATGTGGGATTTCAGATTTCTCATCTTAATAGAGTAGTGTTACGATAGGAGACAGACTTGGTAAAGGAATACTTATTTGGGATTTGATATCTCTATGATGTACACCTTATGCGAAAATCGTCATTTGCACAGATCTTGCGTCTTTTGCTACTTCTAGCCTTCATATTGCGTTTCTTCGTCTTCTTTTTGTGTGCCCCATGTTTTATCGCAACACTGGTTGATTTCCTCTTTTCGACGTCAAATTTATCTCCGCTATTTGATATTTTTGTGCTAATGAACGTCTCTTTATACATACTACTGATAAATCTTGTCAGTAGCACATGCCATAGTAGTACTATGGGGTCTTTATATTCCCTATCAAGTATATAGTAATCATTGTTTACACTATTACTTCTTTTTTTCTCTACTATTCATTATAAATTTCAGAATGAATTCTAGTGAGTAGTTGCTTAAACGTGATGTCTTCTTTATCTCTAACTTCCCAAATTAAATTTTCCATCTAAGTAGTGACCAGAATCCTGATTTAGGTTATGTAATTATTTGACTGAATCCTTCTTGCCTGAATTGGACAGGTCAAGCATCTGTCGGAATTCAACTTCTTTGTATAGATGTTTGTAGAAGTTTCTTTTTTATTTTTGCAGTCTAGTATGGCTAGTCCCATCTGTTCATTGTCTTCTTTTGAAAGTGAACTGGATTCTATCTATTAATAAAGGAAGAAATTATATATATTCTGATTTCAATACAGTAAATGTGTTTTCCCCACCACCATACTTTAGAAGTAAGCTGGAATGTTCTAAAAGCCATGTGTTCCCAACAATGAATAGGTGTGTATCTGCAATTAATGCGGATGTTAGTCGTTCCATTGCCACTTCATTTGTGTATTTGTGTATTTTACCTTAAAAGTTAGATATAATTGAACTATCCAAAATGATTTCTTCGAATGACAACTTAGTTAAGGATCATTGTTTGACACGTTCCTGACTTCTTCCTGATAGTTGTATTAATTTGTGTTTCAGTGCATATGCTTGTTGGGCAACAATAAAGAATAGATACCACAGTGAAATCACCTTGAACGTGCCAATCATGTGCTCATATATAAAAAGTGGCATTTCTGGTATAAAAATATGTTTAGTGGATATATGTATAACGAAGATGAATTATGTAGGATATTCTGCTAAAAGAGGTCTCAGGTTTAATATATATGTGTAAAATGTGGCACTGTGGTAGTAAGTAATTCCATATTGGTTTGTTTATTAGATGTATCATACAGTGAAACAGTATTATTTACTGGATGACGTTTCGAACAAAATTTATTGTTCATAATCATATCATATATCAACCCTGAATCAGGGTGAAACTTGCAGCGAAGATCATGAAAAGTATTCATTTGTACCGTCTAGCGATCTGATTGGTTGGTTGCGGTATCTATTCTTTACTGTTATCGGCTTGTCACATTACAACTAATCATTTTCTCTCTTTTTTCTGTTGTAATATCCTTCAGTCTCCGTTTCATTCTTCATGGATTAGTTAGTCTACTGTTTGAGCGATTAATAATTGGACATAATATTGCGGCTAAATATCTAGATAGCGCATATGTGCTAGGGTGTTCCTAAAATCAACTATCAATCTGTTAGGGTGTTGTGGTTTGTGGACTTCGGGGGCATCGCACATTCCATTAGAGGTATTAGTTATAGACAGCGATTTAAACCATTTTGACTCAAATAGGACTGTGACTTGTTCATTCAGGCCCCCAATTTTCAACCCTTCGGTTATAGGTTTGAATTCCACTCCACTCACCAAGGTATATGGCCTACCAGGGTAGTATCTTTGGTCTTCAAGTATTGTTTTGCAGGGATTTTATTGGTTACGGGTGTGATCACGAGCTGACATCAGTTAGGAAACCACAAGAATTACCAGGTAGTACTACATAAGTGTTTCGTTCTGGTTAGCAGACATTGAAATTCATGTGCAAGTGGATCAGGTCCCATTGGTTGAATAGTCTACGAACTTGCCCTTTAACGAGAAGCTCCTGGGTTCGAATCCCGGTGGGTGCGTACTGATGAAGAGTTCCAAACTAGGACGCAACAACTGTCCAGCACTCCCTGGTTTTCAGCGGTTCTTTAGCTGGTGGCAGTTCGTGATCAAACCTGTCACTAATATGTATAGGCGGTATTAAGCAGGAAGTCCTGAACCTAGGTTTCATGCTTGTTGGCGCTTTTCAGCAAGGCATATCTACAGTCTTGAAGAAACTTATGTCCCCTCTGAGATTTGAACCTGTGTCATCCAATGCTGCAATCAGAGACGTCACCGCTGAGCTATTCGGGCTCTTTATTTACCTCCTGTATCATTTTATTATATGCATTGATTGGACAGTGGTTGGCAACTATTGATGGTGAGCCACTGATAGAATTCAGTCTGCACTAAATAAAGTACTTGACACATTACATTGGTTGCCGACTACTAATGTCCAATCAAGGTACGTTTAAGTGGTGCCTAGCTATTTTTGGTATTCACTACTGTAACTGAAATCATCATTACTGCTGCTGAAACTACACTGAGCTTGTGTCTATTCGTTTTTCCCTTTTAATGTTTTTAGAAGAAGCAGATGAATGGAATGAAAAATCGAATAATATTCAAGAACAACTTGATATGGTTAGAAGTACAGTAAGCGAAGCATAACTGTACATCTATATGCATACTTCATACCCGTGATTGATGATTGCCTACTGAGATTATTGGTGGTGGTGGTGTTGGTGATGATGATGATGATGACTAGCCTTTTTTTCTATCTCTCTCTCTCTTGTCTCTGCTGTGGACAATATCCTTTCCTTCTTTATTAGTTTTATATACTTTTAAACTGATTTTTAAAGCGCTTAATTTGACACTGTTGTTTCGTTAACTTTTTTAACATCAGCTTCGCTTTTTCTTTCTTCGCTTATTTCTTCTCTTCTGCGTAACATCGAATTGTTGTGCTGTCTTTTTGCCTCCTTATACTCAAGTGTTTACATTGCTGAAAAGAAATTAAGTAATTGTTTAGCCAGAAAATATTCAGGACATTGCCGTATTCCATTCCACTGCATTGAATAGCATTGCATTGCATTGCATCCATCTACTCACAAACGCACATATACAAGTCAGTGTTTGTGTCATAAAAAATAAGGAAAACGACAAGTGGCGGAGGGCGGGGAGAGGTTAAATGAAGTTGATTTCTAGTTCTTCTTCTTTACATGTTTTGTCTTTTCTCTTCTTCGTGTGTTGTTCTTCTCCTTCTACAGATAAAGTTGAACACTTGGTGAGGAGGCGTGTTTGATGAAAATCATCAGCAGCAATTGAGTGAGTGGAGTAGATAGATGAAGGAAGTTATGCTTCGCTTTCTCTATGATGGCTTTTCATCTCTATTGTTGTTGTTGTTATTATTCTTATTATTATTTGCCATTGCCACACTGTGTTTTCGCCTTACAATTTTGATGATTTCTAGGAATGTTCAACTTTGTTTAAAACAAAATATGCTTATAATATATACATATATTTTGCACTATAAAAAGAATATTATGTTTTATTTGTAAGTGGATAGTAGTTGTATGTAGAAATGGTATTTTTCTCACGGGTTGGTTTTCAGGGATTTGAGTGATTCCAAGAGTGATCATGACGAATTGATTTCAGCAAGAGAGAACCATTGGAGACCACTAGGAGGGGGAGTGCTGGACAGTTTGCCTTTTCTGACTGACCGACTGGTTTCAACATAGAACTTCGCATAGGAGTAGAGCAGTTCGAGTTGCCACACTCCATATAGCACACAAAGACAAAAGAGAAAAAAGGAGACTCGAAAGGAAGATAATAAGCAGAAATGTGAGGGAGATATGGCAGATGACAGAGAGTGAATGCATCTGCGCCTTTGGCAACGACTTTGAGCCATATCACCAACAGTCTCTAGTTGTTGGGTCTTAGCACCTCGGGAACCCTAACCAGTCAGTCCTCACCATCCCACGTGGCTCAAACTTAACTGTCAAGGTTTTCATGGACTGACTTCAAGATTTTTAGTTTGACCACCACTAGTTCTTTTCCAAGCTAATCCTATGTATTATTGATATAAGTATAAAACTTGGGCACTGTGGTAGAGTACAACTCCATAATGGTTAAGATTTTATTTTGATAAATCACACAGTGTTGTACAGTTATATGAACTGATGACGTTTCGAGCACAAACTATTGCTCATAATCATATCAAAATAAAATCTTAACCATTATGAGGCTAATCCTATTTCAGCTAACATTACCCATCGAGGAAGACGATGGCTAGGGATGCATAACACATGTCCTCAATCGATGTAGGGCGGAACTACTGCTTATGACACATCTCTTGATCGATAGCCAGATATCACGTCTACTCCAGATATGGCATGAGTTGGCAAATGCCACATGAGCCTTTTGTATTCGTGCTGAGATTTCGTCAGTGATCAACCCATTGGGGCTGATGCAACTTTCCAAATAAGTGAAGTGGTCGACACGCTCTGTCATTTTACTTTGTATCATTTAGGCTAGAAGTCGGTGTATTCCAGTTCTGCATTTAACAGGAGCGAAAACTTCTGCTCAAGGTATTCAGAAGACTCTGCATTTCGTCAGTGTCTTCACCTAGAAGGACTTTGTCATCCGTATATTCCAAGTCAACAAGAAGGTTCCTTGGTAAAAATTCAATCCCTGAGTCGCCGAAGTCAGGCTTAATTTCATTAGCACATCAATGATGAAACTAAACGGAAATGGGGACAGTGAACATCCTTGCTGGACATCACTGGTTGTGCACCACTTGCCTTGCAACCTGAAGGTCATAGGCTCGATCCCCCATTGGGGAGTATGGGTGCGTACTGATAAAGAGTCCCGAAAATAAGACGAAACAGCTGTCCAGTACTCTTTGCTGGTTTTCAGTTCATGATCAATCTAAAAGTGATATTGTTGTGGAATCATGCTTCGTAACACTTGCACTTGTATACGCATAACTTTAGCTTGTGAACTTTGGTGTTCAGATTTTGACAGATAGGATGGTAGAATTCTATCCTCTTATGTAGTGTAGTTAAAACCTAAGTATCTAAACTTTATCATCCATTGCTATTTAGGAAATTTAAACAAAGCGAGAAGAATACATTGAACGGGATAAAATATGACGTCACTATATTTTGTTTGACGTCGTCTACTGCATACACCCATTAGCAATTGTCAAAGTTCAACTTTAGGCACCAAAGAGGCGCGGATACACCCCAGTGATAAGTGCTAAAAAGCAATTTCATGACCCTAACGCTGATGTTTCTATAACCTTAATCTTACTGTAACCAACCTTTGATGGCCCGGTAGCACAGTGGTTAGGACTCTCGCCGGCCATGAACATGGTCCGAGGTTCGATCCCCTGCCGACGCACACCCGATATCTATGGTTGGCCTGCAAAATTTGGGCTACCGATATCCGTGCTGAAAATTCCACACTTGTACTGAAAATACGGTGTGGCATCAAGCTATAACCAAAAATAAAATAAAAAAATAAACCTAACCTGTTTCTAGCCTACACCTAATCTTAATCTTTCCCTATTCTAGCCTAGAATTATTCGGATATCCTATTTTATATCATTACAATTTAATTTAGCATTTCCCTTCATTAGTGTTGTATTGTTTACGCGGTTTTATTGCTTTGCTCTGACTGTGGGCTCCATGATCACTGATGCTTTCGTGCCTGTTTGGTGTCTGAAGTTTAACTTTGCAGAACGATTTAATGCTGTAGCGGTAGAAGACGAAAGACTTAAGTAAAGTAATGTTAATTTGCAATTTAGTATTTCTATATAACCAAATTATAGCACACCTTTCTTCACTTCATCATTTGCACAGATCTTCCGTGTTGTACTGCTTCTGGCCTTCATATTATGTTTCTAAGTACACCTTTCACATATCGCGTGTTTATCAACAATGTTGTATCATTTACTTTCTCTGATAACAAATCTATCTCCCTGCTTATTTATTCTAATGAACATCTCTTTATATATATACTACTGATAAGTCATATCAGCAGTACATGCCACAATATCAGTTATACAAAAAAAATTAAAGTACTTTAGTTATTGATTATAAAGGCGAAGGATATTATTTATACCATGTGATTAAATAGCATAATGGAAAGGAATAGTAGCTTGTTGGTAAGCTTGTGTTAGTATGTATAGAATCTATAACTGCAAATGAATGTTACTCATTGAATTGAACAGAAGTGTAAAAGGAAAACACCATACTTATGTAAGGGTCAAATAATTTAGTAGTTGAACAGAGATTATAAATGGGTTGTTGTCGAGAATATAGATTAAGACCAAATGAAGGTTGGGAAGTTACATTATTAATACAAGATGTAATTAAAATAACGCAAAGTATATATATATTGATAAACGTATATTAACAACTATTTCCTTCTGGATGCATAAATACGGTTTTAATCCTTGAATAGCAGTCGCTTCGGTGAAAGGTAGTAATCTGGAACTGTCTTGAACTTTAATTATCGTAAAGGCTTTTAATGCATTGATTTCATGACGGCTGTCTAGCAAGTGATGGGAAATCGCACTACCTAAGGACTTTTGCCGATAACTGCTAGCTAGATGTGGTCGGGCTTGCATACCACAGTTCCCCAACAAGCTACACTGGCTGGAACTTATATTCATACAGGTCCTACAATGCCAGGTAGATTGTTTGGATAGCAGTTAGACTATAAGCAGTTACCATGAAGTATATGGGTTCCGGAATCCAAACGCATCGAATGGCTTATGAACCTGTACTAGCCACAGCAGTTACGGGGATGTAGCTCCTGACGCTGTTCCGCTGCCTTGTAGATGAGACTTCAAGTTAAAGGCTCGAGAGGTGGTCACTTAAAACAACCATCTGCTTTGATCTAGGCGACCTGGCAGTATCCCAGTGTGGTGAGAGCTGTCTGCTAGCCAAAATTGGTAGACAGCAATTTACATCAATGTTTACGTCCCAATGTCATGAGAAAAAAAACAAGAACAAAGACTAACTCAACAACCAATCATAGCAAACTTTGCGTGGGCGGATACGATTCGCAGATATATGGTCTGACCTTCAAAGAAACAGCCACAAAGAGATGACAGATTAACTTCCAGCGAGAAAACAACCAATCAGAAGACTCTGTTCTCTGCTAATAATAACGAATAATAATGTACATAAAAATATATAAACATCTGTTGATTTCCTCAATAAACGATCTGTTGCCTGACTCTTGTCTTCTGTTGTTACACCAGCCCTCTCACTAACACTGAAATAAGGACTTTAGCACCTTTCAGACGCAAGTTTCTTGGAATGTGCACGGATATGCAGTCGTAAATCGTTCTTTGTGTTCGTTCATCCGATGTGTGTGTGTGCTTTAGAACGTACATGTAAAATGGAATATGCATTTGGTGGTAATATAAAGGAAGGACTTGTCCACCTTAGATTGTCTCATTGAGTATTTTATTCGGTAAGTTGTGACTAACCTGCCAGTTGTGTAGGTTCGCTTGAGAACATGATGTATTCTGTACTTACTTCATCACCTTTGAATTCAAGATTAAGGGAAACTGGTTTCTTCTTAGCTGTATCAAATGTCGCTTTTATATTTGATATTCTTTTGTGTCTATCAGTGAACTTTTTAGGATATTCATTGTCCCTTAAACACTTTTCATTAATGCTGAGTTGGTTGTTAAGTATTTCTTTCGAATAAAGTTTCTCAATCCGGTAGAATAATATCCTCATCAGACCGTCTTGAAAGCTTATCGGACTTGTTTTGTTCAAGTTTATCTAGGGAAATAGTTGTATGAAGTATTCAGGAAATGTCAGTAGAATTATAACAACGGGTTGTACTATAGAAATCATGGTAATTGATTCACGTGCTTTGTTGTTGTATTTTTAATCATGCAAATTAGATACGCTATGAATTGAAGAGATGAGGACAGTAGCGGTCTTTAACTGTAAGCATTTGTGTTCTACCTTCTGTGTCAAGTGGTATTGTGTGGTCACTTATAATGACGTTTGGCATAGACGTTTAGGTAAGAAGGGAAATGTGGATAAAACAAGAAGAACAGTTTGTACAGAATAAGATAGATGGTACCATCATTTATTTCTTCGTTGGATGCTGATTAGTTGCATACAGCCTAAAGTAATATAGAAGATTTGTAGCTCAGGTGGATGATTTGCAATTAATAGTGTTCTCTGAGCTTTCGTCGTCCTTCTGGACAACATCTTCAGCGCAATATTTAGCTTAAAGTGAATTGATTTAAAATTCCTTATTGAATGATATAATTGCGTCTCCTGGTATCTATCTTTACATATGTATTGACCATTTTCTATTGACTTGGATTTTAAACTTCCTGGTCACCTGATTTACTTTTTATTAGTTGGTATATTTCGTCTATATTAACGTGAAAAGACACGATATGTATTCTTTAGTATCAATGCATATAGACAATTATGGTCATCAATTTGATTGGGATAATGTCAAAATCTTAGACAGAGGAAACACCAAAAGTGCCAGGGAATTCCTAGAAGCCTGGTACTCAAACGAAAATGCGATTAACAAGCACGTTAATCAGTTAACCAGAAAGTTTGAAATCCAAGTCAATAGAAAATGGTCAATACATATGTAAAGATAGTTACCAGGAGACGCAAATATATTATTCATGAAGAAATTTAAATCATTTCACTTTATGCTAAATATTGCGCTGAAGATGTCCAGAAGGACGACGAAAGCCCCGCAACTAAACCAACCAGCTCAGAGAACAGTATTGATTGCTAAGTCTAATGTAATTATAGTAGTAGTTTATGTACAGAACAATTTTAACATACTTGCAAATGTTGTGTAATGCTGGTTAGTGACAGAAGCTTTCAGATTTAATGAACGGCGCTCAAAAATTTCGCTTGTGTAGCCTAGACACAGAAAGTTTAAGTTTAAACAAAAAATAAAGGCTTGATACAAGGTAAGAGGAACCTAGTGAGGACAAGAGGTGGATAAGGTGATGAGTAACAAATAAATCGAGTAGTGATGTGGTGAGTTCAACTCAAGTCAAATGAGAGAGTAAAGACATCTAGTTACTGGGACAGAGAAAGACTAGAAGCAACTTCTTTCTGAAAACATAGATCTTGTTTCAGGCGTTTAACAGCGATTACTTCGGCAAACTTGAGGAGAGCTGAACCACTTTGTCTATTGATACTTCTAGAGGATTTCATAATGTCCACCTCAAGACCCGCATCGACTAGATGTCTGGCAGTGACATTAATGTAAGCATTTATTCCCTTGAAACGTAGGCTTTTTGGTGTATATGCAGGAAAACTGAAGGTCAGTTGATGAGGTTGTGGGGTAAAAGCGATAGAGATGGCTAGGATACGTGTTACGCATGGTATGCTATCGCCTTCCTCACTATCTAGCAAAGTGACTTCGTGTTAGACATCATCGAATCCTCCGTACTAGGAGACGCTGACATGTTAACGGAGGTCGAACATTTCGGTTTCATATAATCAGTCATGGATGTCCTCAAGGTGTAGTCAGAAGTTGTGGCCAATGTACGTCCACCTTGTCAAGGTGAGTAGGATTCTCATCAAAGGCGTTGGTTGGGGATGCCGTTATATTGCGAATTGACAGAAGATGGAATGAATGGGCCATTCGGCTCCGGCTGAAGTTATCTCGTTAACTTTGGGTCCCTGGATCGATTCCTAGTGGGATATTAGGTGTTCACTGATGAAGAGTTCCAGGTCAGGACGAAACAACTGTTCAGTGCTCCGAGTTTTTCAATGATCTCTGACTGACGCCGGTTCATGCATGTCAAAATCTACATTGAAATCTAGATTTCACTTTGTCATCGAATGTAGTATTGGTAGAAATAGCAGTAGTGCGATGAGTGTATACTTTTCGCTAAACTGAACGTTTTACTTTATTATGTTGGCAGAATACTTAACAGATTCAGTTAGTTGACTCTTTATTATCAATAATCTGTTCGTTTCATCATCTCTCATCTTATTTGGCAGTTTGTCTGATGTTGCTGATAACAAATGAACAGGATATGTGATTATTGATTGTTTTAAGAGTAATTTTCATATAAAAGGTCAAGGTTTGT